ACTCACAGATCCAGAAATGTCTGGTTTGACTATCCAAATTAATATTACATATAATTATTTATAAAGACATAATCGAAGGTCACATTCACTTAGTTGGAAAATTTCTCTTTGTATCACTAGTCTATTCAGGCACATTTATCCTTACTAAGGCCATCGTTTTTACTTTTTGTTTATTATCATCAATCAGTGACCCAGTCCTGTTCATTCTAACTGAAATGTTCCGCAACATTCCTCCTCATTTTCTTTTACTTTGGGCTGTTGGAGCTGCTATTTAGCTTGTTCTCTGTGGCTCTTTTTTCTTATAGCTCCCTCCTCCCGGCCCTCAATAGTCACTTGCCAAAACATAGGTCTGATCACATGGCTGCTTTGTTCAACAGACTTTCCTGCTTTCCAAAATGCCTTTGTTTGACATAGAATTTCCTGCAAAATCTGTCTCAAGTTACTTTGTTCCAACCACATGAGACTGCATCATTCCTAAACCACAGCCAAGCTAAGGACTTTGAAGGTTCCAAGCCCTGAACACATTTTGGTTCCTCCCAGTGTCCCATAGTTTAACAACACTCATCTGCAATTTGACATCACAGTGTATGAAACCACACCAAATTTAGGCAGAAACTGAAAATCATTTGCAATACTCTAGATTTTTTTGAATTTCTCTTTTTTCTTTCAGTCAGTGCTCCAGCTTTGTTGGTGCCCTAAGAAAATGCTCAGTCTGCCTTTTGGGAATTTTAGCACTGCCCTCAACACTAATAGGACTCAGAGGAGCCCAAAGCTGACCTCTTGCTGGACAGTCTGTCCTCCTCTTCATCCAGTTAGTTAACTCTACTTGCCCTTCAAGGTTCTGCTCGAATGTAACTTCCTTTATAAAGTTTCCCTGCCTCTCTCAGGCTATTGATAAAGGTTTGGTGTGAACCTTTGTAACAGCACTTGTTCTGTTCCAATAAATTGTCTCTGTGTTATGATCGATTCTGTGTGTCTGGCTTCCCTGCTCATTTCCCCATGTATTGTCATTCAATCCTTATAATTACTATATAATGTTAAGTGTTAGGATCCCCATTTTTTATGGATAAGTAAACTGGAATGTCTGTCACCTACCTCGTACAAGCTATTACAATATTAAGATCTAATGTAACAATGAATATAATGAATTTCTAAAAGACTTAAGAGCCAGGTAGCGGTAAGGCATTATTATTTTTATATATTATTCTGTGTGTGATAACAAGTGTTCATGTTTATGTTTTATTCTTGACTACAGACAGAATTTATTCCTACCTAAAGAAACCCTTTCATGTTAATTAAAATAAAATTTTATGCATGCTGCCATACTCGGGCAATGCAAATAATGAGGATAGTCTCTCCCACACGTTTCAGGGTAGTCCCCTCTCCACTGAGCAAGAGCCGGGGCTCGGGTCTCTGGAGGTGACGGGCAAAGGCCAAAGCTGTCCCTGGTTGTGCCATTTTCTCCCCATTCTCTCGTGCTTTATTTTTTCATACTCTCACTATTCTTTTTCTTTTTTTAACTTATTTTTTTAAAGTTTTTTTATTGTTGTTCAGTTTACAGTTGTCCCCATTTTTACCCCATTGCTCACCCCTGCTCTGCCCACCCACCCTCCCATTTTCACTGGCACCTCCCCCATTGTCCTTGTCCATGGGTTCTTTATATACATGTTCCTTGACTTGATCCTTTCCTTTCTTTCCCCTGTTACCTACCCCTTCCCCCCTCCTCTCTGGTCACTGTCAGTTTGTTCTTTATTTCCATGTCTCTGGTTCTGTTTTGCTCACTTGTTTGTTTTGTTGATTAAGTTCCACTTATAAGTGAGATCATATGGTATTTGTCTTTCACTGCCTGGCTTACTTCATTTAGCATAATGCTCTCCAGTTCTATCCATGCTGTCATGGAGGGTAGGAGCTCCTTCTTTCTTTCTGCTTCATAGAATTCCATTGTGTGAATGTATCAGTTTTTTTATTCACTCATTTACTGATGGGCATTTAGGCTGTTTCCAGCACTTGGCTATTGTAAATAATGCAACTATCAACATTGGGGTGCATAGGTTCTTTTGAACTGATGTTTCAGGGCTCTTAGGGTATAATCCCAGCAGTAGAATTGCTGGGTCAAAAGGCAGATCCATTTTTAGTTTTCTGAGGAAATTCCATACTGTTTTCCACAGATGCTGCACCAGTCTGCATTCCACCAACAGTGCACTAGGATTCCCTTTTCTCCACACCCTCTCCAACACTTGTTTGTTGATCTGTTTATGATGGCCAGTCTCACTGGTGTGAAGTCACTCTCCCTATTCTTGATGGAAGTTTTTAGTAGAGTTCAGCACCATCTTATCCCAAGAGGAAAAAAATTGTGTCATATTAATCTTTGATGAGTGGTGCAAAAAAAAAAAACCATCAGGAGGAATCTTTCAAGTTTATTATGGAAGCAAAGAACATTGTCCATAGAATTTAATCTGTGGCAGTTCAAAACAAGGATTTCTAGCACAATAAATAAGTCCAGTTTTCTTTCTCTGGGTTTTATGTCTGTTTTATTGCTAGCCAGTCTTTCAACTTAATCAGTTTCACAGCCAGGCTTTTCCTTAATTAGCATCGGGAGTTTTCATTAGCTATTATTTATTGGTGATTCTCATTTGCTTTGCTGTGGCCTTAAAACTATCTTGACATTTACTGTCTTACTACATAAAAATTTATAGCTAATTTTCAGTGTATACGAGCTAGATTTCTGGTCATCACATTTTTTTTTTTTTTTTACAAAGTATACACAAAATCTCTTGTATCTTAACACTTTTTTTTAAAGACTTTATTTATTTTTAGGGAAAGGGGAAGGGATGGGGAAAGAGAGTGAGAAAAACATCAATATATGGTCCCTCTGGTGTGTGCCCCCCACTGGGGACCCAGCCACAACCCAGGCATATGCCCTGACTAGGAACCGAACTGGTGACCCTTTGGTTTGCAGGCCAGCCCTCAATCCACTGAGCCATACCAGCCAAGGCCATTTTCTTTCTTTTTCTTTTTTTTTTTAAAGATTTTATTTATTTATTTTCAGAGAGAGGGGAAGGGAGGGAGAAAGAGAGGGAGAGAAATATCAATGTGTGGTTGCCTTTCACATGACCCCCCACTGGGGACCTGGCCTGCAACCCAGGCATGTGCCCTGATTGGGATTTGAACCAGCGACCCTTTGATTCGCAGGCCAGTGCTCAATCCACTGAGCCATATCAGCCAGGGCTCCATTTTCTTTATAATTTTATATAAATGACTGGCATCCAATTTATGAGGCTTCCTTGTATCTTTATACATATAAGTAAGGAAAAAATATATAGTTTTTATATAGTTTATATCACTGTTATGGTAGACCTTTGAAGAAGTAGAAATGGACTAAGGTTTCATGCTTTTGCAAAATGAAAGAATTTAATGGATTTTTGTAATGTGGCTGTATTGCCAAAATGTACCATTTTTTAGTTTTACACTTTTTGAGTGTATAGTGCCCAAAGTATTGTCAAGGGAGCAGGGAATAAAGTAATGTTTCTGCCCCCAGGTCACTGTACTGTGCAGTGAAGAGGAGTTACATGTCTAGTTTTTCCACAGAGTTAGGCATGTTTTACTTCTTGGTGCGTTACTCTCCCTTTGCTCCCCACTCTGAAACTACACAAGACAAAAAGCCGCCATCCAAGCAGTAATATTCTTGTTAAAATTTTGTGTTTAACCATTTGTATGAGTGTTTCACTATTCATTCTGTGGTTATGTGAACCTAAAATATACTCGAAATTCAAACACATCAAATGAACTTTATAGAAAGGTTTGCTATACTCAGATGAAAAAGGAAATTTAATAAATGATAAAAGTACATATAAGTACATAGCCAATTTCAAGTAATGATCAGTACTGTTCCTTCAACAATTATTTTTTGAGTACCTACTCACTGCTAGATGCTGGCCTGTAAAGTAAGTCACAGGGTGATGGTGAGTAAGGAGGGGAGCTGTCTCACGTTAGCTTTTTGGGGAAGGTCTCTGAGAAGATGACATTCAAACTGCATTTAAAGGACAAGTAGAGGCAGCAGAGTTTTCTAATCTGAGTCTATGGGTAGAATTCAGCATGGGAAACTTAGATGGAAAAAATGACATCTTCATTTTCACTAAACTTCAGCTGAAATTTAGCACTTTCTTCCATTTGAATATAGGCAACACACCTCAGCAGTATTAGCAGCATCCATGACTTTGTGATCAGTGTTTTTATACCACTGCTCAGTTCTTGCAGGTACTTTGAAATACCGTCACTGCTTTGAAATTATGGTATGGTCATGTGCCACTAACAACATTTTTGGTAAATGATGGACCACATATGTGACGGTTCTTTAAGATTATAACAGAGCTGAAAAATTCCTGTTACCTAGTGGTATCAAAGCAGTCCTAACATAGTAGGACAACACACTACTCATGTGTTTCTGGTGATGCTGGTGTAGACAAACCAGCTGCACTGTGAATCATAAAAGTAGAGCACATACAGTTATGTACAGTACATCCTTGATAATGTTAATAAACAACTGTTACTGGTTTGTGTATTTACTATAAGGTAATGTTAATCAGTTTAGAGTATATTCTTCCTACTTATTAAAAATTTGCTGTAAGTCAGTATTCCATGTTATGTTGGCAGCAGCCTCATACATCTGGTATTACTATCTTCATCACATTCTTTTCTCTTGTGCTTGATTTAATCTTGAATTGTTTTGGGGCAGTAACATGCTGTACAGACTCGTAGCCTGGGAACACTAGGCTGTACCACACAGCACAGGTGTGTAGTGGGCTGGACCATCTAGGTGTGTGTGAGTGCACTCTGTGTGTTCACCCTGTGATGAGGAAATTGCCTAAAGATTCATTTCTGAGAATGTATCACCATTGTTAATTGACACGTGATTATTTTTAACTATGCAGACTTTATCTACACTTCACAGTATTTAGAATAAGAAAGTTTTGTATTGATGGTTTATTATATTGTTTCAGAACAATGAAATGGTGGAGCTGCAGAGAATACGGATGAAGGATGAGATTCGAGAATATAAATTCCGAGAGGCACGCCTCCTTCAGGACTATACTGAGCTGGAAGAAGAAAATATAACGCTGCAGAAACTTGTGTCCACATTAAAGCAGAACCAGGTAAGGTTTAAGAAGTTACTTGGTTACATTCCAGATGGACCATGTCTTCTGACCACCAAGGTTAAATCTTCTCTTTATTTCTCAGGAAGGAACCTGTCAAAATTTGCCTTAATCTCCTTACAGTATTTATGTGCTGAAATTTCCCAACCCTCCTATTTTAGTTAAGAAATTTTCCAACCCTTCTATATTAGCTAACACTTAGAAGGCAGACCTAATAGAAGTATAATTTATAATAAAGCTTCACTGGATAAGAAAAATTTTAATTTATATATTAGCTCTATATTAATTGATTTCAGGACCTGGTCTTATGTATTATAATCAACTTAACATGACAACATATTAAAACCTGGATCTATAAGTGTGTTTTGTACTATAAGCTTAAGGTCTCCCTGTGATCACTTCCAATCTCTCTCTCTCTCTCTCTCTTTCTCATCCCCCCTCTTTCTCAATTGCTTTTGCATCATACAGGGAAAGGGATTGTGAAATATAAATCAGTAAGAACAAAACTTTAGGAAGAAGAAAATGCTTAATTTCTTTTTTTGGCTATAACCTAACTGAAAAGTTTGCAAGTGTATATTTTAACAATTTTTTTTGGTAGTGAGACTTAATGTAATTGCTTAATATTCCTGATGCATTCCTATTAATATTGCATTAATATTCTTATTTGCATTTGATTTGTTACTATTACTAGTAATAGCATTCTTGAATCTGTAATTTTAGAACTTATTTATGAATACAATTTTATCAGTTTGTTAAGCAAAGGTGAATTGTATGTTTAAGATCTGTTCAAGGTGCTTCCTCAGCCACAACCTCTACTCTGGTCTAGACACTGTTATAACCTCTCAGGCCAGGCCAACACACCCTGTGCCAGGTACTATGCTAGGCTAGAAAGATACCAAACCCATAGGGTAGGATTCTTGCCAACAGTGAACTCAAAGGCCAGCCCAGATGTATGCTTCTACTTTCTTTTCCAGTTGGTAGCTCCTTCCCAAACTATTACTGATTTTGATATATATGGGGGTTAAGAGAGGAAAGGGAATAGCCAGGTGTTGGTACAATCAAAATTTGATTTCTGATCATTGCCATCTCCCCCATCTTTGGCGTGTGGGAGGAACAAGATCTCTTCTGAGGAGTGCAGGGGTGGTTCAGAGCCTGAAAAAGGGTCACCAGGATATTGTGTGTGCTTTTACCCCATTCCCTCCCGTTAAGTACTGAATCATTGTGTGTGTGGAGGGCTCTCAGTACCATGCACATTCCAGCTCTTGATTTGACTGAAGGCATTGAGCTCACAGTGGGGAAAATTAGAGTTAAAAGAATTTTTTTAAAAATAGGCTTCTCAGAAACTCCTTAAAATAAGAAGGGTATTTTTTGTGGGTTTTTTTTTCTGTCTCTGATGAAGTATGCAGAGAGCTGGAAGCAAATTTACTTGAAGTGCAAATATTTGAAGTGGCCATTACTTGTGATTCCTGAAAATCCTCACTGCTCTCCACACCAGGCATGAGTGGGACCAGACGTACTCGCTGCAGAATCTCCAGTCACTGTGGCAGACTAATTTACTCAGGAGGTTAATTGAGGCCAGTATTAGGTATTCTTGAAAGACTGCCAAGGTACCCTGTGAGTATTCATTAGCCCAGAGGCGTTTCGGTGGGAATTTGTACTGTCAGTTTGGCAGATTACTGTTTACCGTTTACCCCGGCCCTTCCACTGGTAATCGAAACAAAAGAACCCAACACTTACCTCAGAAGTTTGGGGGGAGAAAACAAATAGGAAAATGTATACATCTCTTTCATTTTAGTTCCTAGATGCGGTATGGTAATTTCCCAATTAAGTGTCTAGTTAATTAATTTGAAATCATTTTCCATACAAAGGACCATTCAGTCATTCATTTGCTGACAAATGAGTGCACTGTGGTGTCCCCCTGTCTCTCCCAATGAAAGAAGTGCTGTTTTGGGTTTCTGTTTTCCTCCTACTTTATTTATAGGAGTTAGCATCTATCATAAACTCTCTTTCTAATTAACAAAATATTAAATGTAATAACTTATGCCACAGATTTTTTTTCAAACGGATGATGGTGGCTGGCTTTCAGTCTCAAAAATGGTCTGCGTTGTACTGAAGCTCCCCGTACAAAATACGCTCTCCAACCCGGTTTGATGTTGCTCTCCACAGCAGAGCTATTAACATGGTGAAATACTCGGTTCAAAGAGCTTGAAGATTCTTTCCTTCTGAAGTTCCCTTTTCCTTATTGATTATTTTCTGAATGATTGTTGTTTAAGTAGCACTTCTTACTTCCTTTGTACCCCGTGTATATTGGTATGTTTTTCCATCCCTCCATGATGTAGCACCTGGAAGAGGGCCTGGCACGTAGAAGGCATTGCATCAACACTTGAAAGAGTTAAAAAATTGGTTTTTAAAAATTTCTCTTATATTCTTCCTTTGCCTTAGAGAGGAAACTAAAATTTCAAATAATTATAATTAATCAAACAAAAAATTTTAAAGATTTTATTTATTTTTTAGAGAGAGGGTAAGGGAGGGAGCAAGAGGGGGAGAAATATTGATGAATTGCCTCTGATGCGCCCTCAACTGGGAACCTGGCTCACTACGTAGGCATGTGCCCTGACTGGGAATCAAACCGGCAGCCTTTCAGTTCCCAGGATGACGCTCAGCCCTCCGAGCCACACCAGTCAGGACCCAAACCAGTTTTTACGTGTGGTCCTCAATATGAAATATATGGGAACATCAAAGAATTGACTGAAAACTTCAGCCACATCCCTCCGTGTGCGGAGTTGGTTCTGTGCCTGGAGTCAGTTCTGTGCCCAAAATGAAATCAGGTCCAACCTTATGAATACGTTTTTCCCCTCTGTGCTTTTCAAACACAGAAAGAAGGGCAGGAAGAAGCAGCAGTGATACAGAGAGAGGTCAGCTGTCAGTTCCCCACCAGAAAAAGGCACGGATGAAGCAAAGCTGTTTGTCAGGCCTCTGGCCTAAGGAACCACCTCCACAGAACCTTAGTAATGTCTCAAAATGGGAGGCTCAGAGAAGGGTGTCCATAGGATTTTAGGGTCTGCTCTGGGTTTTGCTGGGGGGAAAACTGGTTGGGATAAACTGAGTTTGTGACAAAGCTTTGAGCTGGGAAGTACAACAAAGTGAGTCTTGACACGAGTCTTGAGGAAGCTGTTTTAGTTGGGTCTCATCTTCTAAGAGGGGGTTTCTCTGTAAGCAGCTATGTTTTTAATGCCTAGTCCCAGTATTGGTACTGGGGACTGGGGCTAGGAAACTTTGCCTGGTTGCAGTATTACTGAACATAGAACAGGAAATTATGTTAGTTTTAAGTTTTAGAGTTTTGATGGTAGAAGGAGGAGAGAAATAATAAATTCCGTTTCCCTAATATCTCACATAGTGAACTTATGTGCTCAAATATTTATCTAAGCATTGGAAACCCTTGGTAAAATAAATACTTCTATTATGAAGAAACATTTCTTCCAGGGATTTATTGCTATATATCCAGTAGTAATATCATAAGAGACCTAGGGAACATATTCAATTTAGTTTTATTTTCTTTAACCAGTATTTTCCAGGATATCTTGCTATGAAGCCGTGTGCTTTGTCATATGGTTGCTGACTCACAGAGCTTATAGTTCTAGTAGGGGAGGCAGGTAATAAACTTGTAGGCATCCTTGTAATTGCATATTAAAGCTGTTTGTTAGGTTTGCAAAACAGAGTCATTGTAAGATCTGTCAAGTTTCTAACTCTGAAAAGATTATGTAACCTTTTTTTAACCCTCATGTTGTCAAAAATAAAAAGAGCTGCTAACCTCTGAAGTTGCTAAAAAGATTCCCAACAAAGTGGTGATTTGTTTTTTCATGACGACTGCTTTGATGCTGTTTAAAAAAATATCAAACGCTTATTTTTAAGTGTCTTTTCACTGTTTCTTGGTCCATCCAGTTTGCTGGGGCTCTCTGATCACATGATGCATCCTTACACGGATGGCACCATCAAGTTGGGATCTGTTGGCCTGCGTGGGTCAGCAAAGACTTCACAGCTAGGGTTAGGTTCTTGACTTGGATCTTGAAGGATGAATTAGTTTTCCAGATGTCAGCCTTTGCTTAAGCAGAGAAAGACAAGACATCTGGGTGAATATTAGGAACTTGAATCAGAGAGTGGAATGGATGAAGCTTCCTAAATTAGAATGATAGAGCCTTATAGGGAGTCTATCATCAGTAGACTAAAAATCACAAAATTAAAAAACTACAAAGCACACTAATTTAAATGTCATCAAGTCTAGCCCAGGGGTCAACAAACTTTTTTTTTAAAAGGCCAGATAATGCAGACATGGGACCGCATTGTTGTGGACTGGCGTTGTGGATGAAACAAAATAAATTCAAACGGACTACAGAGTCCTGTGGAGGAAAAGGGCTGATGCAACTTCTCTTTCAAGGGGAGAGCAAGCCTCAGAGCCCCTTGCCCACCCTCTCAAGAGGAGAGCGCCCTGACCCTTGCCTTGAGGGGCTTTTATTGGGTTGAATTTGCATAGGAATACCTGGTATATATGTAAAGCTCATTAATCATTATCAGGCAGTAAGGATCAAACAATAGATAACATACAAAGAACTCAGTCAGGGGCAGATAGCTAAATGGTCATAAAACTTTTGGGGAACAAACTCACTTCCTGCTTGGACCCTTTTCATGTAATTGAGAGCATTCTAAACAAAGCCGGTTTTACAGGATTTTACATATTCTTTCTTAGGTCTGATTGCCCCAAGAAACCCACCCTTTCCAGCACAGGGCTGCACCCACCATTGGCGTTGTTTCAGGCTTAAGGCATTGTTTCAGGCTTAAGTCAGGCAGGGGAAGTAAGGCAGCCAAGAGATTAGGAGACTTCTCAAAGACAGAAAGAGGACTCAGGCTATGTCAAAATCAAGGGGCAAGGGTCTATTGCCCCTTTTCTGTAGCCCCTAAGTCCTTCTCTTGGGACCCTCTGATCATGCCTGTCTTAGGCCGTCCCTCCTTTGAGGAGTCTTACCCGTCATTGGCTAACTGATCAAGCATTAAGGGCCAGGCAGGATGAAGTAAAAGGAGCAGAGGCGGCATCCTTGCCAGGGAGATAAGCTTTGTCTCCTTAGTGGCTTCTGATCCTAAGGTCACTCACTCAGCCTTTGCCAAGGAGGGGTTATAGCTCCTGAAACCAGACAGGACAGTTCCCAACAGCCAGATAGTACGTGTTAGGTTTTGCAGGCCATGTACTGAAAATCAGCCACAGATAATATGTAAACAAAACAGTGTGATTGTGTTTCAGTAAAACTTTATTTACAAAAACACACAGTGGGCTGGATTTGGTCCAGAAGTCACAGCAATGTCTGAAAAACCCTGGTCTAGGCTTTCAGTGTAACAAGGGTTACAAAATAAAATGTCTGTAGTGCAAACTAAGTTAGTGTCTGCAAATGTTAGCTGTCACACAGTGTGGGGGCATTCAGAGGGTTGGTTGAAATACTGGCAAAGGTTTGCAAACAGGTACCCTGAATTGTCCAGGGAAAGAAAAGAGGAAGGCCAGGATGAAGCATGCCTGGAAGAACCATGATATTACATTCCATTATCTCAAGCAATTTCTATGATTTGACTCTTTTGAATGATTTTCATTATGGACCTGTGAAATTCCATTGACCCTTTACAGCAGTAAGTGTTGCTTCTCCATCAGGATCCATTGCTCCCTTCTCCCAATGTTGTACCTAGTTTACAACTGGGCACAAACCTACGTGGGGTAAAGACTATGCTCTTCACCTCCCTTGCCACCAAATGTCTTGTGACTAGTACTGGCCAGTGAGGTATGAGAAGTGGTATGGGCAACATTGAGACATATCCCTAAAGGGAGAGCGGGCAAGCCACCTTAGACCAGGTGGACCAAATTAGGAGGCAGTACAATAAGACAGAAGGAACATGGTTCTTGGATGACCTCATGGAGCAAAGATTTCTACTAATCCTTGACTGACTACCTCCATACCGTTACATGGTAGAGAAACAAACTTCTGTCTCAACTAAGTTGCTGTCACTTAGGTTTCTGTTACACCAGCCACACCTACACCCTAACTAAAACTGTATAGAAAACTGTTATCCTAACTCTTGCAAGACAAACCATTGCATTGAGATTATGTGAAGAAGGGTGGTGGGGGTTGGGGAGAACTAGAAATGTATGAAAATGGTAATAGTCTGTAATTTCTATCTTTTAGTTTAAAAAACTTTTAAATATACATTTAATATAAACACTAAATTTTTAAACTTAACACATAGTTTATATTAGTGTCTCATATCATGGCTTTATTTTTTTTTCTACTTTATTTTTATCTTCACAACAGCATATTCAGCAGAGCAGAATTCTGTGGAAACATTATGAAGAAACATCCGAAGCTCTAGGAAGCACACCTAGGTGCATGAAAAGTCTTTCCTCTTTTTAAGGAGATTGCAATGTAGTTGTGGACATAAAAAATATTTATTGAAAAGTGGCCTGTGATATGTACTATGGAAAAGCCCAAAGGAAGGCATATTGGTTTAGAGTAGAAATCTCTTTTTCCTGTGGGCTTTCATATCCGAGAGGGTGTTTGTGCTGGCTCTTGTCTGATATCATTCAGAAGAGTATTGCATTGATAACAATAGAATATATACAGGGTCCTGCACAAGTAACACCACCGAGTGTGGTTGGTAGGGTACGTGAGTGTCTCACATGAGATGGACAGCAGTTTGAACACTTCACCTAAAATGTCCTGTGATGTGCTTAAGTATGATATTGTCATGATACTGAATTACATGCTTATAATTTTGTAATAAAGTATTTTTACATGATAACAGGGGCGTTATTTGTGCTGGACCCTGTATATTCGTTATTGCATAATTGGTACTGTTATTCCACATTCTATCCTTAAGCACATATATTTTTTTCTTCCATTTTATTTATTTTTATTTTATTTATTTATTTTTTAAAGATTTTATTTATCTTTAGACAGGAAGGGAAGGAGAGAGGGAGAGAAACATCAATGTATGCTTGCCTCTCATGAGTCCCCTGCCGGGAACTGGCCTGCAACCCAGGCATGTGCCCTGACTGGGAATCGAACCGTGATTGTGTGGTTCGCAGGCTCCTGCTCAATCCACTGAGCCATGCCAGCCAGGGCCATTTTATTTTTAAACAGATTTTTGCTTCTGTGTCTTACTCTTAAACATATATATTTACTGAGATTATTTTCTTACTGTGATCTTTTATCTCAAGGTATAAAAATTACCTCATTATTAGCAATAAAATAAATTTTTAATAATGATAAAATGTTAGTTGTGAGTGGTCTGATAAAAAAATTACAAAAAAATATGTTTTATTAGGTCAACAGTGCCCCCTTTTGACCATTGGACCCCCATAAGAGAAACCAAACACATTTTCATCTCCGCTAAGAATCGAATTTCTATTCATATAGAATTTCTATTCATATAGAATTTCTAAAAAAAAAACATCCTGTGTTACCGTAAGGGTGTATATACTGTGTGCTTTTTATTTTTTAGACATGTTTTGATTCTTTAATGATTAGGTCAGAATGGCAGTTTTGTAAGCCCCGAATTTTAGTTTTCTGAATCTTCTCTATCCTGTCTGATTCAGGTTGAATACGAAGGCTTAAAGCATGAGATTAAGCGATTTGAGGAGGAGACGGTGCTGCTGAACAGCCAGCTGGAAGATGCCATCCGGCTGAAGGAGATCGCTGAGCACCAACTGGAAGAAGCCCTAGAGACCTTGAAAAATGAACGGGAACAAAAGAACAACCTGCGGAAGGAGCTCTCCCAGTACATCAGCCTCAACGATAACCATATCAGCATCTCGGTGGATGGACTCAAGTTTGCTGAGGACGGAAGTGAGCCAAACAATGATGACAAGATGAACGGGCACATCCATGCGCCCCTTGTGAAACTGAATGGAGACTATCGGACTCCCACTTTAAGGAAAGGAGAGTCCCTACACCCGGTTTCTGACTTATTCAGTGAGCTGAACATTTCAGAAATACAGAAATTGAAGCAGCAGCTAATGCAGGTAAGATACTTTGTTTAGGGCTGTTAGGGCTAATTCCTTACAGATTGCATAGCATGTTGTGGGATTTTTTCTTACATTTTCGCTCCAGATTATTTTTAAAAATGTTGCTTCTTTAACTAGCAATTTTGAAAGTGCAATAGTTTAGAAAGACATACCAGAAGAGGTGTCGAGAAATCTCATCTGCATTGCTTTAAGAAATTTACTTAGAGCCACAAATTAGATAGCAATCAGAAGGCAGAGAGATAGCAGGCATCTTGATGCACATCTCTCAGAAGAATTAAAAAACTTTATATACAAGGAAAATGACAGAAATGAACTTTTCCATCGCAATCAACTGTATATGTGGCTTCAAGAATAGAGGCTACACTTCACAGCAATACTTTAAAAGATACGCTAACTAGCCAGGGTACTATATGATTAAGAATACAGATTTATATAGAACAGGTATAAATCTGAAACCAAGGAGTTCTGATTCCAACATACTGTTAGCTGGGCCTTAAATTTTAGCATCTTCAAATCAAACGTCTTGTGTAGAATCCCATGTATAAGCTTCTCTCATTGTAAAATGATGGTCTAGTTTTGAGTCTTCCCGCTCTGCCATACCTTAACCCAGTGCTAATTGAAATTTTTTCTGAGGAACATCACCTCCCTCACCATCACCTGGGGGCCGGGCTTCTTAGAGCTACAGATTGTCGGGCTTCCTACAAATCTACTCAACCAAGAAACTGGTTCATTGAGATTGTTGGATGATTGAATTTGAGGCTTAATCTTCAGGCTGTTATCCCTCCGAGGTTCTTTGCATAGAGCTGATAATTACAGGCTGCTAAGACTCTGGAAATCATTTATTTTATAGCAAACACCACTTATATTTCTTTTACAGCTACAGAAATAATGAATAAAAAATGAAATTAGCAGAAAGAAATAAAGAGGCTAGAGAACCAGTAAAACTAGTTTATTACACAGGTGGCAAACACAAGGCCCGTGGGCCAAATCCAGCCCTCCACCTGTTTTATCTGGCCTGGCACCTTGGTTCTACCCAGTGGCAGCGCCAAGCTCCTTGCCCCTAGTTAAGGAGCAGTAAGTTACATTTACACAGTTCTAAAATTACATTCGGCCCTTTGAAGGCAACTGCAGGGCTGATGAGGCCCCCGTGAAAATGAGTTTGACAGCCCTGGATTATAAGGCTTCTTTTTAATATATCAAGAGCCAACGTATTCTGCACTTGACATGCTCAGGGCTTGGGGCTGCTGAAAGAGAATTTGTTTCCACAATGATGAATTTGAGTCAAGAAAACATGGAAAACTGTACTTGAACAACAATTAAAATAAATAAATTAAAAAAATAAAGAAATATTAATATAAGTATAAGCTTAAATTAAAAAAAAAGAAAATGAATTTCACATAGACTTTTACCTGACTGCAAAATCCAGTTCTATGCATTGCTATGTCTTTTTGCCCAGTTTGTACTAATATAAGCAGGTTGATAGTATGGGGGAGGGAAAAATATCCCTGCTTTTTCCTCTTAATTTTTTTGTGACTGGTCTGAGAATTAAATTGACATGAGAGAGATTAATAGGAGAAAGTAACCAAGCCTATTGCACATATATATATATATATATGGGGGTTCTATAAGAATGTTAGCCCTGAGGACAAATGGGGCATTTGAGGCTTATATGCTATTCTGAGTCAAGGAGGGAAGGGCAGAGATCTGGGAGGTCAAAGGGAAGGTAGGCAGTTCACAGGCAGATGAGAAATAGTCAATGTTTGGTAAACAAATTCTTTTTTTAAAGTATTTTATTTATTTATTTTTAGAGAAAGGGAAAGAAAGGGAGAGAAACATCAATGCATGGTTGCCCCTTGGGCGCCCCCTACTGGGGACCTGGCCCACAACCCAGGCATGTGCCCTGACTGGGAATTGAACCAGCAACCATTTGGTTCTCAGGCCGGTACTCAAGCCACTGAGCCACACCAGCCAGGGCAGTAAACAAATTCTTGATGGGCCAAAGAGGGCCATCTACCAAACAGGCTTTGCTTGGTTCCTCACTATCTGCCACACTGAGTTCATATTAAAACTAAGGTGATCACGCCCTCCCTGGATTCCTTTAGGCAGATAAGAGGGAGGTAAAAGGCTCTTCTGAATTTTTTATTTCTTAAAAACAACCCGATTAAAATAATCAATATCCAAAAAAGGTTTTTTCTAGGGTGGCAGACTTTGTTTTCCCCACATCAGTGGGGTCAGGTGCTGCCCTGGAGGATTAAATCATAGGAATATTTCTGCAGTGAAACATGTGAGTATTCACATTGAGGGAAAAATGAGGATCCCAAAAGGCCTCCCATCAGTCAGGCTCCCCTTTGCTGCTCAGGGGACCTAGGGCTGTCTGAATGTTGCCACCAAGTGAGGTATGAAAAAACCTTCCTGTAAAGGATTTTCAGATTGTGGCTGCTATAGGTACAGCAATTGCTGTGTTATTAGGCAGCTCTCAGCTTTGTATATCTCAAGCTTATAACATTAGCATACTTTGTGAGAGTTCGTATTTTCGTAGTCCTCTTTTCTCTTAGGATTTCTTTTGGCCGGGGTCCAAAGCACTGCGTGGAGGGAAAGCTGTGTGCCTTCACACTGAGCACCTGCACTCAGTTAATGTTGACGTTTGTAAAGGTGTCGAAGGGGCTCAGGCAGGAACACACCTTATGCCAGGAATATGCAGCTTTTAAGATTTTCTTCTTTAGGATTAAAGGAACCCTTTGAAAACAGCATAACCAGACCAAAGCCTGGTTTTGTCTTGCAAGGTCTCATCTATGTACATAAATTTTGTTTTCCCATCTATGGGTATTTACTTAACCTGGTTTTGAAATGGGAAAGAAAACCCCTGTGTTTCTGCCTTGGGTATCAGGGAAGTCCGGTGAGAGTTGCTTTACTTCTCTGAGATGCATTCATGAAGGGAAAGGTGATAAATTAGCCCCTGTCACTAGTCACTATGAAGCCTTTGTTGGAACTGGGTGGGGGGTGCAGACAGAGCTCCTTTCTCCAGGTACTGTACTGCCATCTGCTGGGAAACGGGAGTAATATGAAAGCCTAGGACAACTATACTTTATTGTAAACAGTGTGCCCTGGCATAGTGTGGTGTACAGCCTGCAGATAATGACACTGAACCCTGGGGAGCGGCCCAGCCAACCTTCCTTTGTGGAGTTGTGATGACTAAATGGGATGGTGAATATGAAACTAGGTATGAATTGCAAAATTTTATAAGTTATTATACTGGAACCACCCATCAGTTTTTGAGGTGTCAAGAAGGCTGGCACTTTCACTTTATATAAATAGCCAATATACAAAGCCTAGAAAGTACAGGAAAAGGCAGGAGGTAGTAAACCTCCATCTATATTTGGGGGTGCTATTTTTCACAAAGCAAATCGGGGTGAGTATTTTAATGAACCGTATTTCTTCCTAGGGTATGCAATAAACTACAAGAATATTTTAAACTTAGTCATGCTGACTTTCACATAACACAAATGTATGTGAATTTTTAAAAATATATAAGAAAATATTTTTTGAAAAGAACTTTAAATTTTATTTTTAAATTACAGATTACATTCAGTGTCATTTTGTTGTTCAGGTGTACAACATAGTGGTGAAACAGTCACATACTTTACACAGTGTTCCCCTCTATATTTCCAGTACCCACCTGGCACCACACATAGTTATTATAATTAACCGTATTCCCTATGCTGTACTTTACATCCCTGTGATTATTTTGTAACTACCAATTTGTACTTCTTAATCCCTCACCCTTTTTATCCAGTATCTCAGGAAAACATTTTATTCATGGAAGAGTCTCAGCTTGACAATAGACCTTGATAGAAAACGGCTCAATTAGTATCATTGTTTATTCACTAAGAGACATTTTTCAGGGTATTCTGGAGATAAATTATTTTGGTTTTTTGGTGCCCTCAGGTCTCAGTTATTTCCAGTAGATTATAATTGACATTTTCCAGTAACAGTCAAATAACTTAATTAGTTTCATTAGAATGCAAAGAAGTAGATCCTGTCTGGAAAAACTAAACGATCTAATCTGTTTAAAGGATTCTCTGTGCTTCTGCTGAAATTTTTAACCTTGGATAAATAGCCTTTCTTTAACTTCATGTCAGAGAGTCAAACCAAGCAGGAGAAAACTTTGAGTTTTTTTTCCAGTATCATACTAGCTATTTAATTTCACATATAATGTGAGAAAACAGTAATGTTTCTGTAAAGCTGAGATTAATATTTTGTTGTATCCTGAATATGGAAGAAATATTGATACTGTGTTTAGATCTGTTCTGTTAAAGGTGATTTTAATTTTTTCTATAATAATGATGGTAAATAGTCAGTTTTCTGTATGACCTATAAGAGTTCAAAGCAAATTATTTATTAGGTTCAAAGCCTAATTCGTTGATGCACCTAGATGGGGTAGATAGTACTATTATCCCCAGTTTACAGATGGGGAAATCGAGGCACAAATGTTATGTCATTTGCTCAAAGTGAACAATCCTAGTAAGTGGACTCTCTACACAGAGTCAAATCAAATGTTATCTCTGCTTAACAAAGACTCAGAATATTTATGGGGTAAAATTAATGAAAACAAGATTGGTCAGTTACTTGTTTTTAAAACTTAAAGTGATAAATACAATTTCCAAGTACAAAGTTGGTAAGTAGTTAAAATATTACAGACTTTGTAGTTTAAGACTACATTTACAGCTTTATAACCAGACATACTTTTCAGAAGCCTTACTTTTCTACTGTATTTCACCAAACATAAAAAGAGCATCTGTTGACAAAACAACCAGGGGTAGGGTCTGTATAGATCTTCCTAAGAAGAGCTTTATGGAGATAAAATTCATAGAACATACAATCCACCTGTTTAAAGGGCTGACTCCCGTGGTTTCCGGCACATTCTGAGTCGGGCCACCATCAGCACAGTCCATTCTAGGACATTTTTGTCACCCCCAAAAGAAACAGCGCACCCATTA